CGGAGGAGCTCGAGATAGTAAATTTTTGGTCACCCATCCAATAACCGACCACTGCGAAACTTGCTCAACTTCAACGACCGCAGCCGAACGCGCTAACCACTGGCGCCATCGAGCTCCTCCGCGACAGCAATATAGAAATAGGTATTTAGAAATAACTATTGCTAAGTATTGCACGACAGCAATAGTTATTTCAAATACCTATTTCTCAGATGTCTCTCAGCTCGCGTCCGCTTTTAAGGCGCTTTGCAGACGGCGGGGCGGAGCGGGCCGGTCAATTTCGCCGCGAATGATAGCACAAAGTGAATTCTATACTTCAAACGCACACAGAGTGCAAAAAGACCGCGCCTTGGGTGCCCGGCGGGTACTGGCGGCGCGGCATGTCCGCGGCTGCCCGCCGTGGATCATACAAACCAGTTTATATGCAGTAACGCAGACGGCGGCGCGGGGCGGCTAGCTCAGTCCGCGCCACGCGCTTTTTAGTGATGGACTATACACTAGAACGAATGTCCTGAACTGACTGCCTCTGCCCGTCGTGTGCTTTGTGTACGCGGCGAGGGCAGCCGCAGACATCGACGGGCAGACGCGGTTTTTATTGCTTCGCGGACAAAAAGCCCGCCCCGCCTCGTCGTCTGCAAAGCGCCTAAGGGTCCAGTGAATATACCTATATATATAGTCTAGCCTGAGTCTTTTGTGCTAGAACTATTTTGCCACAAAAACTAATTCCTTTTAACGGCACCACTCAGACTTCAATTACTTCTCGTCAAAGAGACGTTATTTCATTCTGTCTGTGTAAATAAAATAATATGAATAAGCTTAAAATAAATAACATCCCAGACACTGCTTACTATAATTAAGTTTAAAATAATTTACATCCCAGAGTGTTGGCCTATCTTATATATAAAATTCTCGTGTCACAATGTTAGTTACCATACTCCACCGAAAAGGCCTGACCGATTTTTATGAAATTTTATATGCATATTCCGTGGGTCTGAGAATCGGCTACTATCTAGGTATTTTTCATATCCTTAAGTGATAATGGTTGTCCACCTATAACGTACTGTTCTAAAACCTTCAATGCGCATTCTCGCCAAAATTCAAACTATTGGGTATTGTAACGTAGTGTTCTCATATGGGTTAGGAGGAATGTTATCCCAGGTAATTGATAGAACACTACGTTACACATCCTTAAAAAAAATTTTGGACAATTTTATATAATCCTAAATTTTCTCTTCTACCACCTGCCCCTATTTTTATGGCGGTACGAAGTTCGCCGGGTCAGCTATTAGTGTTATAAATATTCGGACATCAAACTGAGGCCGAAATCAACTCCACACTGAACATCATCATCATCTTCATCAGCCTATTAATGTCCCCACTGCTGGGGCACGCGGGCCCAGTGCGGATTGGTGGGTGCTAACGACTGCAGAGATGCAGCCGGGACCAACGGCTTAACGTGCCTTCCGAAGCACAGAGGAGCTCGAGATAGTAATTTTTGGTCACCCGTCCAATGACCGACCACTGCGAAAGTTGCTTAACTTCAACGATCGCAGCCGAACGCGCTAAACACCTGCGCCATCGAGATCCTCAAATAACGTGTAATACGCCGTAATTAATTAAACTAGAAATCGTATTGGCCGAAATTAAACTATTTTGAGTTTTAACGATTTTGAGATTTTTCCGTCAGTATTTATGTATATTGTGTGTAAGGTTAGTTTTATTTACTTAATGTAATTGTAATGAATTATTACTTGAAAATATAAGACCCCTTTAGATTCAAGCTTTATTGAGGGCTATCGCGTAAGAATCACTGAACATCAGTCGGAGTAAAGTCTTCAAACACAAAATGAAAAAGAATGGATATTCATGTATGTATACCATTTTACACGTAGTTCCAACTTCGCGTGTACCTCATAGTGTTGACGTAATATGTACACAGTTTTAAGTTGAAGCACCGCGAAATTATATAAACTTAATCGTTACAATTTTTATTTTTTAAGCATGTAACTGCTTGATGTTTAAATCTAAAGAAAATATAACTAGAAAAAATTCCACGCGGACCAGGCAGCAGACGGGACTCGAACCCGCACCCTTCGCTATCCGGGCGAATGCACTGACCATTATGCTACCGCAGCCCTAACGGGGCGTCGAAATTCTTCTAGCCATTCTTAAGCTGCAAGGCAGCGCCATTTCATCGCATTATGGGTAACCCACAATGTCAAATGAATACTTTTACACTTTTTTATAACTAGGTATCTACGTAGGACATACTGAAAGTTTGTGAATTTAAAGGTCCTGGACAAGGGACACATTTATTTATTTTAAAGTATGTATATATAAGTGTATACTTGTACATATTAAATTTAAACTTCCTTTTTACATTTGCTGGAACCATTGTAAAAAGGTGACTTCGGACGTATATCTGAAGTCATTTTTCAACTTGACGACTCTGTATATAACAATACAGGGAGAAAAAAACAGCCCTTGCTGAGTATCTTGCCGGTTCTTCTCCGTACGAGGTCTCCCGCAATTGTTTTGCAAACCGATGGCGTAGTTTCTTGATCTTCACAAGTGCTTGTAACAGCCTAAACTTTTTTGGTACGTACTACGTACGTAGTACGGTAACTACGGTTGACTGGTAGAGAATGCCATATTGGCATTAAGTCCGCCATATATAAGGCAATAAAGATTAAATAAATAAACTGAATAAATGACTTTTCATTTCATTTCAAAGCAATTAGATCAGTCTACCTTTGAGGACCTCTTCAACCACAATGTCTTTGAGAAAAAATGCGTGAGTGTCGTGGAACACTCGGTTGGAAATACCACCTAACAATCCGCACTGGGCCCACATGGCGAGCCATGGCCCAAACTCCATATTCTATTAAAAAAAGCATCCTACTCACGAATCCACACTGTGCCCCAGTCAGCTCCGGGCCCAATCCGCATTGACCCCAATCAACCATTTATAAACATTATTGTTTATTATTTCTTATTGAAAAAAAAAACCATTTCCTAATTTTATCCTTAATTTTACTCCAACGTTAATATCCATTTAAAGAGTGCCTTTATGACTGCTAAAAAGAAATAAATACTTCCGTTCATTCTGTAATGATCAGTACACAATTCGCCCGTTCCGTGTTATCTTTAAAAACGTTTTTATGCTTTCCGTTAATGAATCGTGGCTTAATGCAAATGTGTATTTTGTAAGTAAGCCCCACTAGTAGGTAGCCCTTGAGGATACTCAGCGCCGTACTGAAATTGTTTGCGATGTAAATTCTGGATAAAGACGGCCCGAAGTTTCAATTTCCGCACGCGCTTACATTTCCCAGCTCGCGTTCCACTAATGGGTTTCAATAAAGACTGTTGTGTACGAAATACGTTTAAAAAAGAAATATAATGACTGCTGTTTAATATTTATAGGCTCGAAAGGCTTTTTCTTTACTTTATATCTTAAAGGGTTTTGACGGGACAACGTCTTATAATTCGATGGAGCCGGCTGCACGCACGAAAAAACATGACTCATGCGGCGTTACCTCGCTCTAAGGCGTTCCATTTAAGGCTTCAAGTGCAAGCCAGAGCGCGCAACAAGAAACAAAGAGGCACAATCGGCCTCCGCGTTCGGCAGCGTTCGACATCTGTCTCTCTACTACTTGAGTGAGCGATGCGGCGGCGTGGACAGCTACTATACAATAATACATTTACATGTTTTTGTCAAGTATGAAGTGCAGTAAAAAGTGAGTGCAGTAAAAGACTGTTGTGAACGAAGTACGTTTAAAAAAAATATATAATGACTGCTGTTTAATATTTATAGGCTCGAAAGGCTTTTTGTTCACTTTATATCTTAAAGGGTTTTGACGGGACAACGTCTTATAATGATGGAGCCGGCTGCACGCACGAAAAAACATGACTCATGCGGCGTTACCTCGCTCTAAGGCGTTCCATTTAAGGCTTCAAGTGCAAGCCAGAGCGCGCAACAAGAAACAAAGAGGCACAATCGGCCTCCGCGTTCGGCAGCGTTCGACATCTGTCTCTCTACTACTTGAGTGAGCGATGCGGCCGCGTGGACAGCTACTATACAATAATACATTTACATGTTTTTGTCAAGTATGAAGTGCAGTAAAAAGTGAGTGCAGTAAAAGACTGTTGTGAACGAAGTACGTTTAAAAAAAATATATAATGACTGCTGTTTAATATTTATAGGCTCGAAAGGCTTTTTGTTCACTTTATATCTTAAAGGGTTTTTATTAAAATAATCGGTCGGGCTGAGACTTTGCATGCAGGCTTTGCATAAGAAGAATCATAGATGAATGTCATTGTGTATAATACAAGCCTGACAACAAAAACTGTAGTCTACACTTCAGCTCTACACCGAAGCGAAGCGAGGGCGGGCCGATAGTCTGTTATATAAAAGACAATCAATAATTAATGACCTCTCAAGCACATCTACAATCACTGAACAGAAGTTGCGCTGAAATTCGGCATACTTAAGGCTATTATGATGTAGACGTACACTAAGAAAGGATTTCCCAAAACTAGCCCCCTGAAGGGGTAAATCGGGGTTTCAAATATGCATGGGAAACCAATATTTACGCATAATAACATAATACGCAGACGAAGTCACGAAGTCGCCCGTATATACAGAAATATAAATGTAGCTTCTGACTTTACTAACAACTCTGCCCAATGTATATAAATTTCATGTTATAATTTCTATTATTTTTAAGCATGTAACTGCTTGATTATGCTACCGCGGCCCTCACGGACCGCGTCGTAATTCTTCTAGCCATTCTTAAGCTGCAAGGCAGCGCCATCTCTTCGCATTATAGGCAACCCACAATGTCAAATGAATTGAGTGAGTCCGTGAGGGCCGCGGTAGCATAATTGGTCAGTGCATTCGCCCGGATTGCGAAGGGTGCGGCTTCGAGTCCCGTCTGCTGCCTGGTCCGCGTGGAATTTTTTCTAGTTATATTTTCTTTATATAAATTTCATGTTTGTTCCAGTACTTCCCAGTGAACCCTTCTTCCTGGATGAACTCGGGAACAAAGTGAAGGATAAGATCGGGCCCTACCACGATGGAGACACCCTGGTCCTCAGCTGCCTCGTCATAGGAGGTGAGTAGCGACCTTTTGTCCATCTCCTTCTCCTGGCTAAACTGTACTATCTGGGCCCACAAGTTGACACTCACATACTAGGTTAGGTTAGTTTTGTGACCAGAAAGGAAAGATGGAAAGTGACTTCATGAGTTTTTTTTTTTTATATATTTCCGACACTCACACCAATTAGCCTAGCCCCAAAGTAAGCACTATAAGGCTTGTGTTATGGGATGCTAGGGTAACGGATAGAATACATATACTGTACATATATAAGTATATTTATATAAATACATATTAAACATCCATGACTGGAGTACAAATGCTCGTATTCATTACACAAACATCTGCCCGGGACCTCTCGAGTCGGCGACAGCCATGAAACCCGGCGTACAAGCCACTCGGCCACGGAGGTTGTCAGTTATCTCATATTGAAGTCATTTTTCAATTTGACGACTCTGTATATAATACAGGGAGAAAAAACAGCCCTTGCTGAGTTTCTTGCCGGTTCTTCTCAGTACAAGGTCTCCCGCCGTAGATTTGCGAACCGATGGCGTAGCTTTTCGACATTCACAAGTGCTTGTAACAGCTTAGACTGAATAAACGATATTGAATTTTGTTTTTTTTGACGTGACAACGTCTTAAATTAGGTTGCGGCTGGGAGTCACTTATGAAAAAGTGTAACGCTCGGTAACGTTACGATGAGTCTCTCGTGTTAAGTTTAAGTTTACATGTACAATGTTTTAGTAAACAAAATATATTTCTATAGTTAAAATTTGTGCAATTCTTATTTTCATTCAATTCCTTGTTCCTATTGTGCAATTTAATTATATTCATATCAATAAATATTCTACCGAGAAAAAGACGTTGTCACGTAAAATCTTCGCCCGTAAAACCGACTTTACAGGCAACCATTTTTTTTTAATCTTTTTGGAGATCGTGCGTGCCAAGCGTGCGTACCACGCCAGCGGTATTCATTTGACATTGTGGGACAATGCGAAGAGATGGCGCTGCCTTGTAGCTTAAGGCTAGGAATATTTCGACGCGGCCGTCAGGGCCATGGTAGCATTATCGGTCAGTGCATTCGCCCGGATTGCGAAGGGTGCGGGTTCGAGTCCCGTCCGCTGCCTGGTCCACGTGGTTTTTTTTTTCTAGTAAAACTTTTCTTTAGTTTTAAACATCTAGCAGTTAAATGCTTAAAAAAATATAAACAAAAGTAAAAAGTGATTCTAAAAAGTACAGTTTTACCCTTCTTGCTTCGTAACATGCGAGGTATCAATCTATTTTTACTATTAGGCCACCACGGGGCCTGTACAAGGTGAAGCTGAACATCCGAAGAAATTTTAAAGATATTAATAAAAAGGTAAATTTAAAAAATCAAAAAACCCGACTGCTTAATTATACTTCAAATAAAAACTGAAAAGAAAAAAACAAGTCCAGTAGTCTATAATTTTGTTAATAAGGAACAAAGCTACTTTAACAGTCGGGACCCATTAAATATTCAAGAATACACAATATTTTTCAACAGGGTCCCGACTGTTAAAGTAGCTTTGTTCCTTATTAACAGAATTATAGACTACTGGACTTGTTTTTTTCTTTTCAGTTTTTATTTGAAGTATAATTAAGCAGTCGGGTTTTTTGATTTTTTAAATTTACCTTTTTTATTTCACACTTTTTAGTTAGTGAGTATTTTAAGACGGTATATACCGTAGTCTTGTTATTTCAGTAAGGGAATAAATATCGAGGGAATTATTAAGTGCCTTGCGTCTGTCTGAAAGATTGATTTATTAAGACATATAAAGACTTTACCAGCGGGGTCAAGGCTACAGATGGGCCTCAATTTTTGCGAAAATGTGTGAAGTTAAATCAAGTCGTTACATAAATATCTCTAATGTATGTAAATTTTATAGTAAACTAGCACTTACTCAAATGTCATCTTTTGTTTATGTTTTTTTTAATAGTTTAGCAGTAAATATGAAATTAATTTACTTTTATTCGTCGACTATTTAAAATTGGCAGTGGCTGCATTGTCATGTCAATGCCGGACGTCTTAGATTGTGATATACACAAATTCAGTGTCAGTCCCTAGTCTCATAATTCACAGAAACCCAATATGTAGATGCCAGAAGTTAATTTCAAATGTTTTTAATCACCCTATATACAATACCAATCAATGACGTTCATGTCGCAGGTTGAAGAAAGCAGTAATTCCCGTCTGTTGTTTTGGACAATGAATGCAACTGCCTTAGATCACTAAATTAAATAATTATGCAATCACCAAAGCAAAGTTTATAATATTAGATTAAACTAAAGGCGCATAATAAAATTTTCATAACGTTAGGTAGAGCACCATAGCAATCTCATTTATTATCAATTTATAGTTCTCTTTGTAGTTTTCTTTTAAAGCGTTCACATTTAACAGGTCAAAGACTTTGTGTTCGACCCTTTTTTATTGGTAGTGTAAAGCTCGAATGAAGAATACTCCCAGTAGTGCAATCATAGCAATTATTTTCCAAAAATTTTTTTGTTATAATTATACCGAATAACGTATCACTGTTAAGCACAAATGCTAAGTAACTTTTACAAATATAATCAAATAAACCTATTAATTACTTTATTTTTAAACCTTTTTCATCAATTAAATACTTATCTTATCCTAACTATCTATACTAATATTATAAAGAGGCAAGATTTTTATGTTTGTAACAAATAATCTGAAACTACTGAACCGGTTTCAAATATTAATTCATCATAAGGTTTATTAGATTATTTATTATAACATTTTTCTTTATTTAAATATATTTTGTCCGAGTGACATAGGCTATATTTTATCCCGATAAATAAATTTCGCCCGTACAATGCCCGGGTGGATCACTAGTAAGTATAATATAATATTATAGATCCGAAAATGAGTTTGTTTGTTGCGCTTCCGTGCCCTAATAGCTAAATCGAATATAATGAATTCCCATATAGAAGTAGATGGGAACTTGGTTCTTAGCTACAACGTCGCAATACTTATAGGCGTAGGGTGATGAAAGGGGTGATTTACCTATAAAAATCTACATTATTTACTTTGAATTTTGCAAAATTATTACAAAACCAATATTATCGCGAGCTGATTAATAAATACAGGGATTCCAATAAATATGTACTTACTAGCGAAAAATGGGTTATTTGTCATTATATTAAGTAAACCTATATGTAACATTAAGTAATATCGTTAAAAAAAATTAAAAACATTAAAATCTGAGTTTTTCATTAAAATTCAATAATCATAAATACCTATTATGATAATATATTTTTCATCATTTAATAAGAAGGAACCGTATCACAGTTTTATTGTTAGTACTTCGTATAGGATCAGATACTGCGAATACCCCATTTTTTTTTCTTTTACATAGTACACCGCGCTATCACTTTGTCATCGTTGTAACTTTTTAAATATTTGTCGAAATGACATAGTGTAAAAAGCAAAGTTTATCGTCTTTAAATATCAAAAGCGATAAAAGTATTTGTTTTGATAAAAAATGATTTGTTAATACAAAATGTGCATTTTGGAAATAGATATCAAATAATATTTTAGTTTTGATTCACTATTTTAGCGGTAATGACTTACACATTAAAAATAGATATATGGTGTCACGGACTTTTTTTTAGAACTATTTAAGAGATACATTTTCACTGTACATTACATTCATGTAACTTTTATTGTTTTTCCAGTGCATGCCAAAATGGCTCGCAGATGGGAGATTTTTTTCCGTCTTATGTCACACTTATTGTTATATATTGGCCAATTCACTCAATAACTGCATAAATTATTATATATATGTAATTATCATATATGAGCTATATTACTGTTAAGTTTCATTAAAATCCATTCAGTATTTTTTAGGTGAAAGAGTAACAAAGATCCATTCAAACGTAAGATTGAAATTAAAAGCGTAAGTGGTTAATATACAACTTTAAAGCGTTGTAGATCCTAAACAATCATATTAAATGAAAAATGGTGTTAGGAACCTCGACATGATTTTCTATTATCTAGACAGTGATATCCCACTCGACATATTTTGTCAACTTATTTTTTTTACTTCGTCACAATATGGCGCCTAATTTTGCCCATATTGAATTTTGATTACTATCATATCTTTAGTAGCACTCCCATGATTGAGACGAATCGATTGATGTATGAATCATCAAAATCGGTCCAGGCGTTTGGTCTCTAGTGTGCCACAAAGGAACAAACATACATATATAGACTGTTAAACACATAACCCTGTCTGCGCGTCGCGCTTCGCGCTCTTGCATTGCGCAGCCGGGTAAAAACGCGCCAAAAGTTTTATACAATAATTGGCGTGCACACACACTAATACACTTTAATAAAATATCTTTTTTTAGAAGTCCAAAATCTAATTTCACAGCAGCCTTCTCCACATAAATTAAATTATACTATATATTAACTTTCAGTGATAAAATTAAATTATAATCGTAAAGCAGTGGAAGTATCGCTTATTATATTAGAATGATGTTCTTCCATTTGCCACAACGTACACATCCAAGAAAGTGCTTTCTTGTGTGTGTCAACTGCCAAATATTCAGTACTACTGAGCGACCAAGATTTCGTGGCGCGTGGCCGAAATCGGAACTAATTTTGAGAAGGCTAAAAAAGGCTTTTTACAAGCTTTTATTTAACTTGATATGTATGTTTGTTACGGTCAAATCTTACAACTCAATTTTAAAGCACTTGCCCTCAACCGATTAAGCTGAAATTTGGTATGCTCGTTCAGTTCGGATGAGAATGCATGCTTAACAGTGTGACGTCATTCTAAATCCAATATGGTGGCATACCCAAAATGGCGGACCAATCATTTTTAATGCATTCCTACAATATGGGTATCAAATTAAAGGGCTTGCTGAGAGTAACTCGAAAAAAATGTGACGTCACTCTCAATCCAATATGGCGGACTTCTAAAATTTGAAAATCTATTTAGAAACAAACTTTAACTATATTTTCTTTTTTTCTTTTTAGCGCATTTGAATAAAAGCTTGTTTTTAAAAAGGTTTTTGTACCTTAATTTTATATTTATAGAGGAAGGTATAAATAACCGTCTTTTATTTCCTATCACTCTTTCCGAGTTAAATTATAAGGTTACGTTACCTTCTAACTAAAGAGTTAGAAGAATTTACGTACTTAATAATCCTCATTACAGTACTTATTCAGAAGCAGCCTCCTCCTGTCAATGTCATCTAAATGCCGCAAGATCTTGATCCCCCACGACAACGGCTAAATAGAGCCGAGGTCCGAGTCTCAGAGACGCCCTCTAGTTGAGCCGACCCCCTCCGGTTCGAGTGGTCTAGAGCCTCCAGACGGAGAGGAGACTGCCCCCGCGGGGAGATGCCATCCGCCTGGAATACCTCTAGAGACACTCTAGACTAGTGGTGTCAGTCAAACTGCCTAGTACTAAACCCTCTGAAATCTAAACTTCTACTCACAGGCACCAAAAGCAATATTGGTAAAATAGATCCAAGTCTGCTCAATATTCACATGGACGGGATAATTATACAGCGAGTATACTCAGCAAGGAGCCTGTGCTTGACTTTGGACAGTCAACTCAATTTTGAGAATCATATTGTGGAATGTGCGTGCAGCTGTTTTTATAGATTGAAGCTGTTATACAAAATAAGACTATATTTATCAGAAAAACTGAGAGTCACGCTATGCGAAGCCTTGGTCTTGTCCAAATTTAACTAATGCGACACTGTCTATGGTCCATGCTTGCTAGCTAGATCGTCGCGACTTATTCAGCGAGTGCAAAATGCGTGCGCCCGCTTTTGCTTTCACATACCACCGCGAACTCATGTCACCCCATTTTTGAACTCAGCAAACATGCTAAAGATGGAGGCCCGTAGGCGCTTGCATCTGACCACTCTATTAGAGGTATTCCAGGCGATTTCCAATTCCCGGCTTGAGATCCCCTTAGGATCTCGCCGTCCCCAAACCCGGTGAAGCTGCAAAGGTCATCTGCAACCAACATCTGCATACACACTCAAAAAAAAACGATCTTGGTCGCACTGTAATCCCTTCTTGACCTCGTCTGCTATTGCTCCAATCTTCATCGGTATATCCTTCAAAAACATATCTTTAAGACGAGTTAATTGGCAAAAGCAAACAGCCCATTTGCATTTCGCCATCGTACATCGCGACAAAAATTTCATCCCCATCATCTTGATGCGTGGCTATCCACAACCGCGCATTTTTGTCGAAATTTTTTACCACGTACGACAAAACTGTGGAATATATTGTCGCCAGCAGTGTTTCCGGACCAATACGACCCAAAAACCTTCAAAAAAAGAGCGTACTCCTTCCTTAAAGGCCAGCATCGCATTTGTGATACTCCTGGTGTTGCAAGTGTCCATGGGTGACGGTGATCACTTACCATCAGGTGAGCCGTCTGCTCGTATGCCACCTATAACATAAAAAAAAGCCCATAGCGTTACAGACAGTGGTATGCTTTCAAGATTGAGGCTGCGGTGAACTTTACGACTTTCAGGAAAGTTGGCGCCATCAATCTTTGTATTCGCGAGTCAGGCCGGGTCTATACCGACCGGGTGACTCGGAACATATTTTCGCAAAACTTCATCTTTATATTTTGTGCGATTTAAAACTGTGCGAGGGAAACTTTGTTTGCGATTTCTTATTCGGGTCGTTGGCTTCTTTAACTTCGATGTGTTTGTCGTTTAATTAAACTTGCATGCAATTCGAGACGACACGAGACGGGACTTAGGCGTTATTTTTAGAGTTTAGAGTTAGACTTGAATATTAATGTTGTGCATTTTTGATATTTTGGAATGGTTAAGAAATATTTTTGCACGAATTGCTTTAATTATCAGTATAAATGTACTATCATGTATGTGGTAGAATACAATATTTATTTATTGGACTATCGTACACAAACATGACAATTTATATTACATTAAAAAAGTTTATCTCTCAGAAAAATCAACTTACATGAATCACGTTTAAGCGCACTTTGCGACATCTATTGTAAAGAAATGAACTTACATGAATCACATTTAAGCGCACCTAGCGACATCTATTGTAAAAAATGCATTTTATTCGCAATAAAGCTGCCACGTGGACGACCTAGATAGAGACTTAATATTATAATACGGTAAAATAAAATATTACTATGTTTCGTCCAATATATTGAAAGTCAACAACCTTTCCAATTTTATTGTGTGTCATGATGTGATCAGCCCACGTGTTTGACCTGACGCGATTTTAACATTTATTACCCATACAAAAAAAAATGTACAACGCCGCTAAAGAAGTTTTCACTTCAAAAAAATATACGCGTCGACTTGAGAACCTCCATGGGTCGGTTTTTCGTCGATTAAAAAAGAAATAATATTTCATAAGGTCTAATAATATTCAATATGAGATTTGCGAAAAATTAATAAAGTTCGAAATCTAGTAATTCATGTTAGCGCATTATTTGACAAGAGTAAATAAATATTTATGAAAGAACTCAAATTTAGCTAAGTATATTAAAGTGAAGTATTGTGTGCTGATGCCGTAGGCAAATGGCTACATTTCTATACGAATAAATGATGATACTACTTTTTTAAGAGAAAACTTCTTTAGCTGCGTTGTACACTTTTTTTGTATGGGTAAAAAATGCTAAACTCGCATCAGGTTAAGCACGTATGCTGATCGCATCATGACACACAATAAAATTGGAAAGGTTGTCGACTTTCAATATATTGGATGAAACATAGTAATATTTTATTTAACCGTGTTCTAATAATAAGTTCCTATCTAAGACGTGGCAGCTTTATTGCGAAGAAAATGCATTTTTTCACTATAGATGTCGCTAGGTGCGCTTAAATGTGATTCATGTAAGTTGATTTCTTTACAATAGATGTCGCTAAGTGCGCTTAAACGTGATTCATGTAAGTTGATTTCTCTGAGAGATAAACTTTTTTAATGTAGGTAATATAACTTGTCATGTTTGTGTACGATAGCGCAATAAATAAATATTGTATTCTACCACATACATGATAGTACTTTTATACTGATAATTAAAGCAATTCTTGCAATATTATTCCCTTACCATTCCAAAATATCAAAAATGCACAACGTTAATATTCAAGTTTTCACTTCTGCCGGCACTCCCGGAGTGCAACCCGTCGTTTTTTTTTTATATTAAAAATAAGCATGTTAAATATAAAAAATCTATAAAAACATTGTATTCTTTATACCCAGGCCGTCCACCTCCTCGCATCAGCTGGTACTCCGGCCATACATTAGTGGACGCGTCGGACGGCGTAAGCGACATCCCCAGCGTGAGAGAGAACGAGCTATACCTCCCACTCACTCGCGATAACGCCGAGTCGCTCACCTGCAAAGCTTCCAACACTCACCTAAGACCACCAATTGAGTCGAGTCTGCACATCGAACTATATCGTGAGTAATTTAAATCTCTTATCTATTAGACAAGTCCGTCCGTCCGTCTGTCTGTGGTGCTGTTTCAGCGGCCAAACCGTAAGAGATAGATAAAGAGAATATTTAAGTTATAAGTTAAGAATAGTCTGATAAGACTACAAACCGGATTTGAGTAACGTAGCACTTCCAGTTTTCGAGAAATCACGAATTTCAAACGAAACCACACAAAATCTCCGAAGTTCTCAATAAATTAAATACATTTTTTTTTAATCAGGTTTTGGTGAACGTTTGGTTCACTGGTTTGCTAGTATTATAGTAATAAGAGAGGAAGAGTATAGTTAGAGTTTTGGTTATAGTGACCTCTTACCATCAGGCGGATTATACGCTTGTTTGCCACCCTTTTAACATAAAAAAAACCGGCCAAGTGCGAGTCGGACTCGCGCACCGAGGGCTCCGTACAAGTTTTTTTGAAGTTATACTTCTTTAGACGCGTTATGAAAAAATGATGAGAGTGACATTTTAAGAAGCGCGCGCATCACTGCAAGACTGTAACTCAAAATTTTAACAGCATGAAGTTGGTCGCTTTAGCGACCAACATCATGCGTTACTTTTGTGTTTACCGCACATTAAGAAAATCTACCAACAAAATAGAATCTCTATTTAGTGGGTGCTAACGACTGCATTGTGAAGGCCTATCAAAAGTATTTATTAATCTGGAACAACGGAACCAAAGCGCGATTCAGGAGACTACAGCGCCATCTCTTGACCATTGGTGTAGTAGAACCAAAAACCACATCTTTATTTTTTGTAATAAAGTAACAGTTATAGGTATTAATATTTATAATATTTATCCACATGTTTCTAGTTTGTATATTCGGAATACGTGTTTGAGTTTCATACAAGTGCAAATCACATATGTTCTAATAAATTATATTCAGTAGCGATTTTAATTGAATATTTTGATTATTTATTTATTTTTTCAAATTAAAACTGAACTTTATTGACTGTGTCCTTTTCCAGACTTTTTATTAATTTATTGTAATTAATTATTTGCATGCGATTAAAAACTAATTTTAAGCGATGCCAAAGAAGGATAACTTCTCACGCGCCTACATAAGTACACGCACCCATTTTTTTTATGATGTAACTAAAAGTTTACGGTTTTCGCAATTTTTCCTGTATTTGTACTATAAGACGTTACTTCGTACCAAACAAGATTCTAAATTCACGGGAAGTACCCTGTAGATTTTGATTCCCGTGCGAGTTTCGAAAATTTGCGGCATAAGCGGCTGTATCTTTTGATTGCTTTGGCTTAGAAGTTTGAATTTTACACAGCTCCAAGGGACATTAGACCTGAGTATTAGATATGTATTCAGTTTTATACCTCCACGCGTTCCTGAGAAAAATAGTCTTGATAGACGGACGGACGGATAACAAAGTGATCCTATAAGGGTTCCATTTTTTCCTTTTGAGGTACGACGGAATCCTAAAAATGAAGCAATATGAACTTTTATATGATATAGAATGTGCTAGATGCTAACTTTGCACTGCTAGTATAATATAGAATGCGCTAGATGCTAACTTTGCACTGCTAGTATAATATAGAATGCGCTAGATGCTGACTTTGCACTGCTAGTATAATATAGAATGCGCTAGATGCTAACTTTGCACTGCTAGTATAATATAGAATGCGCTAGATGCTAACTTTGCACTGCTTATAGCAGAAGCCCGTCACCGGAAAAGGATATTCGGAAGCTGTTATATGCTGACAACCGTGTCACTATTGTTTTCAAACAACATTATAGCTCATTTTACTTATATTTAGTCAGGGTAAAGGTTTATTTGGAGCTCGATGGCGTGGGGGGTCAGCGCGTTCGACTGCGATTATTGAAGTTAAGCAACTTTCGCAGTGTTCGGTCATTGGATGGGTGACCAAAAATCTTCTATCTCGAGTTCCTCCGTGCTTCGAAAGGCACGTCAATCGGCACTGGGCTCGCGTGGTGAGTCATGACCTAATCTCCCTATTCCATCCATAGGGATGGCCTGTGCCCCAGCAGTGGGGACATTAATATTCTGATGATGATGATGATGAAAGGTTTATTTAGACTGGGCGCACACGTATGGTTACCCGATTCGGTTTCCTGATCAAGAACTCAGATTCGGAATTTCGTAAGCCGTCTCCGCTAACGCTTCAGTTTTTTTTTTATTAGTAATTAGATTTTGCACCGAACGTTAGGTCATTTTTCCATTCAGAAAAAAAAAACAGCGTGCGCTTCGTTGAGAATTATTTATGTAACCCCTCGCTTACGCCAAGAAACAAATCATATACTAGTTTTACACATCATCATCATCATCATCAGCCTATTAATGTCCCCACTGCTGGGGCACAGGCCTTACCTATGAATGGAATAGGGAGATTGGGCCATGACCCACCACGCGGGCCCAGTGCGGATTGGTGGGTGCTAACGACTGCAGATGCAGCCAGGACCAACGGCTTAACGTGCCTTCCGAAGCACGGAGGAGCTCGAGATAGTAAATTTTTGGTCACCCATCCAATGACCGACCACTGCGAAAGTTGCTTAACTTCAACTACCGCAGCCGAACGCGCTTACCACTTGCGCCATCGAGCTCCTCAGTTTTACACAAAACTTGTAAAATATTTATTGTGAAATTATTTTTATAATTAAATATTTATTATATTTTTTTCGTTCGTTCGTTTGTTAACTATAGGTAATATTAGATAATGGCCACGTAGTTTTTTTATGAGAAGGAAAGAGTATTGGAACGAAGTTCCTTACGGCAGGCTTGGAGGGGATAGGGATTTTGCTGCGCGACCGAACTGAAAAAAACGTGATAGTAAAACCGTAAGAAAAAATCCGTGGAAAAAAGTGCGTGGAATAAAACCGTTAAATGAGACGTGCGCAGGCGCGACAGTCGCATACACAAGCGAGTTTGCAATTTGTGTCGATTCTACATTAGCCGAAGGAACTTCGTTCCTACCTGGTGTCCCACGACACCACATCATTCTTTTATTTTTCTATAAAATCAATCAGTAACTAGCAGAAAAATCATAAATCACGAGAAAACTTGTATTTTACCAGGAAAATTATCAATATCTTGTTAAGCCAATTGCACCCGAACGAAACCAGGACAGGTCGCTCGTGAAACATAAAAGATGACAATATAAACGAAAGATAATGTACAACCGATTCGATGACTTTTATTATAATTTGATAAATTGATAGACCCATCCCAACGCGACGCCGGAACGCTATTAACATTACGGAGAAAAATCCTTAACATAATGTCGGTCCCTATACAAAATCCCCCATATAATAGGCTTATGGGAACATCATATAAAAGCAAGGGGAATCAAATGTTCTCTTTCAATCATAGGTACTTCATATAATGCGCTCGGCCTTCGCGTATTCAGATATTTTTCAGGGAATGGCGAGTATTTTAAGGGTATATCTTCTATCTAAAAAATATCCCGCAACAGCATATGTCTATCTTTTATGGTTGACTCACAATAACACGTGTAACTCCTGATAGCTTAGCAGTTCGGAGCATTCCGATTATATAACGTAAATATGAGAATTTTAGTTTGATTATAAATACAGGTAATAAAAATGACCGTTTTTATCTATATCTTTATATATATAATTCTTCTGTGAGTGTGTATGTCACTGAACTTCTCTTAAACGACTGGACCGATTTTGATGAAATTTTTTGTGTGTGTTCAAGGGGATCTGAGAATGGTTTAGATTCACAATTTTGTCCGCTGGACAACCCCTATTTTTTTAGGGCGGTACGAAGTTCGCTGGGTCAGCTAGTATGTATATAAAAATCAAAGGGGACTGACTGACATAGTGATCTATCAACGCACAGCCCAAACCACTGGACGGATCGGGCTGAAATTTGGCATGCAGGTAGATGTTATGACGTAGGCATCCGCTAAGAAAGGATTTTGATCAATTCTACCCCCAAGGGGATAAAATAGGGAATGAAAGTTTGTATGAAACTTTGTCAATTTTAAACCAATCGGGCTGAGGCTTTACATGCAGGTATAAGAAGAATCATAGATGAATGTCATTGTGTTTAATACAAGCCTGAGAAAAAAAACTATAGCGTACACTTCAGCTCTACACCGAAGCGAAGCGAGGGCGGGCCGCTAGTATTATATAAAATTAAGTCTTCTTAAGAATGAGTGATGAAAATTGAGACATAGGTAGCATTTCGAAAGGCCAATTTACTCATTATTATTGCAGAAAGTTTTGTATCCTGACAGCTAGGATTTTCCGCGCAATATTTTGGACTAACAAATAAGTAGGTAACTTAGGCCTGTATTATAGAAAGATTCTCAGTGATTGATCTAGTCTTGAGATCATATCATAGTTAGAAAGGGATGTCGCTATATATAGCACATAGCGACATCCCTTTCTAATTGTACTCAAGTAAAGATCAACACTTAGTTGTCATTCTGTAATACGGGCCTTAGAGAGGTAGGACTGAGCAGATATTCAACTCTAAGACTCTAATACGGATACATAATAATAAATATAAAATTAAGGTTAAAAAAACCTTTTTAAAAACAAGCTTTTATTCAAATGCGCTAAAAAGAAAAAAAAATATCCGCCATTTTGGGTGTTCCGCCATCTTGGATTTAGAATGACGTCACACAATTAACTATGCATTGTCAAACAAACTGAACGCGTTTAAAAGTCCGCCATATTGGATTGAGAGTGACGTTACATTTTTTTCGAGTTACTCTCAGCAAGCCCTTTAATTTGATACCCATATTGTAGGAATGCATTAAAAATGATTGGTCCGCCATTTTGGGTATGCCGCCATATTGGATTTAGAATGACGTCACACTGTTAATCATGCATTGTCATCCGAACTGAACGAGCATACCAAATTTCAGCTTAACCGGTTGAGGGCAAGTGCTTTAAAATTGAGTTGTAAGATTTGACCGTAACAAACATACATAGCAAGTTAAATAAAAGCTTATAAAAATAAAT